AGGGGAGAGAGAAAGAGAGAGAGAAAGAAAAAAGAAAGAAAATGGGGTGAAAAGGGACCTGTCTTGCTATCCTTGGGACAGACCCACCCAAGCTCTAGGACTCAGGTCTGAATCTAGCACAGGGAGAACACTGATAAATTGGGCTCTGTAGGTAGCGTTGGTAAAGAAAGGTGTGGCTGTCCTGAAGGTGGCTGTGGGTCAAATACTGCAGCAGCCAAAAAAATAGCCACAACCAACCTTGAATGAGCCTAACATGTACAGTCCCTGTGCTGGGGGCTTAGCATGCATTATCTCATTTAATCTTCTTACTTCTAAGATAGGCACAATTATCCTCATTTTACAAATGAAGTAACTGAAGCTCAAAGAGAGGGTGAAGCTGGGCTCAGAACCCAGGTTTCGCTGCTTCAAAGCCCCTGCTTATTTCCTAAATTTGGGGAATGCTGCCTGCCTATTCTGTTGGGGATTCTCAATGCATATTTATTTTGAGGGCTCTGAGAAGTCCTGTAGTAAAGAAGTCTGTTTTACCTTTTTTTCCCTTTTGAGACGGGGTCTCACTTTGTCACCCAAGATGGAGTGCAGTTGCATGATCTCGGCTCACTGCAGCCCAGCTGCAGCCTCGACCTCCTGGGCTCAAGCAATCCTCCCACCTCAGCCCCTCAAGTAGCTGGGACTACAGGCGTGCACCATCATGCCTGGCCTGTTTTACTTTTTTTAACCCTGTGTGGCCAAACTTACTCAACAGCAGCATCTTTTTTCACAGTACACTACTGGCATTCTTTGGAACACATTCCCTGAAATATTCCTTGGGAAATGCTACAATGAGACAGAGTCCCCAAGTGCAGGATCGTGCTCTTCCACATCCATCACTTTATCCCGGGTAGAGCGATGGCTCTCAACAAGTCAAGTCTTAAATAAACATCTGATCCCGAGGGAACATCTGTTCCCCATCCTTCTGGCCCACCCTGTCTGCCCCTCTCCAGGGCAGATTAAGGGGCACAGGAGACAGAATGGGGCTTTGGAGGCAGACAAACCTGAGTTCCAGTCCCAGCTCTACCACTTACTAGCTGTGTGACCTTGAGCGAGCCCCTTGACCTCTCTGAATCTTTGTTCTCTCAACTCGAAAATGGGGATGAGGGCCGGGTACAGTGGCTCATGCCTGTAATCCCAGCACTTTGGGAGGATGAGCCAGGGAGAACAGCCTGGCCAACGTGGTGAAACTCCCTCTCTACTAAAAACACAAAAATTAGCAAGGCATAGTGGGGCACGCTTGTAATCCCAGCTACTCGGGAGACTGAGGCAGGAGAATCACTTGAACCCAGGAGGAGGAAGTTGCAGTGAGCTGAGATCATGCCATTGCACTCCAGCCTGGGCGACAAGAGTGAAATTCCATCTCAAAATAAATAAATTAAATAAATAAATAAATAAATAAAATGGGGGTGAGGCTTAGGCGAGGTGTTGGGTGTTGAACATTGGACAAAAGGTAGACAGATATTCACAAGGCTCCAGCCCTAACCCACCAGGGCCTCAGCCCACAATACAGCCGTCCTCAGAGGCTGGCCACATGGGTTCCCATGTCCCTGCCATCCCTGCAGCCTCCTAGGGGGTCCAGCACTGTCAGGCTCAAAGGTGCCCCCAACCCCTGGTGGGTTAGGGCTGGAGCCTTGTGAATATCTGACCAATGCTGGGCTCACCAGCTCAGAAAAGCTTGATATTGTCAGAGCAGGTGAGTGTGAGAACCAGGCCCACCCTCTGCCCAGGGATGGGGCTTACCAAGTGAATGCATGGGTCCTATGAGCCAGGGCAAGGCAGCCAGGAAGGGGCCAGGCCCTGGGGGGCAAAAACACCTGAATCCTGTCACCCAGGTTAAGTTATGGGGCACCTGTTGGGCTGGGTGGGTCTTTTTTTTTTTGAGATGGAGTCTCGCTCTGTCACCCAGGCAGGAGTGCAGTGGCGTGATCTCAGCTCACTGCAACCTCCGCCTCCCAGGCTCAAGATCCTCTCACCTCAGCCTCCCAAGTGGCTAGGACTACAGGTGTGCACCACCACACCCAACTATTTTTTGTATTTTGGTAGAAATGGGGTTTCACCATGTTGGCCAGGCTGGTCTCCAACTCCTGACCTCAAGTGATCTGCCCACCTCAGCCTCCCAAGGTGCTGGGATTATAGCCGTGAACCACAACACCCGCTCAGGTGGGTCTTACTTTGCCCAGAATCTGGAGCACAGGGAACACTCAGAAAAGCGGGTGTGAAATGAACCCAGTTAATCATCAGTGGCTCCAGCCAGCCTCCTGGGTCTTTCAGGCTGAGCCCCCAAAGTGCTGAGAATGAGAAGGAGGGAACCTCAAGGCCTGAGAACTTGGCCTTGCCCCTTGCTCCACCCCTATAGCCCAGGGGCCAGGCCCTGCTGTCCAGCAATAGCCCTGCTGAACCCTGGCTGTTAGTGGCTTCCCTCTCTAGGCAGATGAGGCTTGATCTGGGCCTTCAAGGCCTCAAATGCCAGGCAGAAGGCTGTGACTTTTATTCCATATGGAACAGGGAGCCAATGAGGGTGTCCCAGTCAGGGAAGAACTGGCCCAGAGCTGCATTTGCTGATGAGAACTCAAGTAGTGGGGATGTGGTGGTCAGCACGTAGAGAGAACAGCCCTGGAGGCAGTCCCTTCCTCTCTCTGAGCCTCAGGTTTCGCAGTGATAAACTAGGGGGCCAGACACTGGATGATCTCAGAGGGTACTTCCTTTAGGGTTGCAGGAGGTGTGGGGCTGGCAGGGGGAAACAGCAGCATAGGCCCCAGCATAGATCCTGGCCCCAGGGCTCCTTTAGATGTCATCCTGTTCACAGCACACACCCTTACCTTGCCCCCAACCACCCAGCCCAGGAGAGAAACACGGTTATATGGTGGCCTGCCCACCAGGTGGCTGCTAAGAATGCCAGGAGCAGAGATCTTTCCTCCCAGGGGCTGCAGGAAGCAGTTTGAAGCCTGAGGCCTCCCACCTGCACCCACAGGGCAGGAGCAGGGAGTGGCGGCTCTGCAGTAGTCGGCTCCAGGAATCACCAGCTGCAATCAGCCACGGTTCCCCCGGTGGGACTTAGGACACCTGGGCTCCCATCTGGCTCTACCCTGCCTCATCGTGTGACCTGGGCAAGTCACTTGTCCTCTCAAGGCCTCTGATACCTCATCCATCATATGGGGTCAAGAGCAGTTTGCCAACCCCACAAGGTACTGTCGTCATGCCCAGTTCACAGATGAGCAGGCTGAGACTCAGACAGGGCAAGTGATTTGCCCAAGGCTGCCAGCTAGTGACCACAGAACTGCACAGATCCTTCCAACTGTAATGTGTGCTGATATCTCAGGCAGGGTCTCAGGCAGAGTGTGGTCTGATCAGGCATTTCTGTGTTTCCAGCATCTAGCACAGGTCCTGACACAGGAAGGAGGTATCTGTGCAGGGAAGCATGAATGAACCAACTAGTCTATGAGCCCCGAGGCAGGCACAGAGTTGTGGCTGCCTCAGTCTCCCGCTCCCGCTCCCTCTCCCGGTGGCATGACACCCTGTGGTGTCCCCACAGCAGCCCTCTGTCCAGGCTCTCTCATGGTGACTTGCTGCCAAGACCCCCACCCCTTCCTGCCTCAGGAGCTTGGATACCCTTCTTCCTGCTCGGGGCCTGGACCTGGGTCTTGGGTCCAGCCTGCCAGCCTTCCTGCCATGCACCCACTCTTTGCACCCCCATCCCCCAACACTATCCCCTCCACCCACTCCTGGCCCACACAGACTCACCATGTTCATGATGGTCAGCACATAGCTCTCAACCTGCGGCTGTCCGTGGTACTCCACCATTTTGGCATCAGCTACCACCAGGGTCTCCACCCACTTCTCTTTGCTGACCGACCGCTGGTGTAAACGCCTTAGCCGTGGCCGCTGCCACTGCTGCCGCTGTTCCCAACGCTCCCGTCGAGGCTCCAGCTCCGGGGACACTGGAGGTCCAGATGGGGTGGGGTTAGCTGCCAGCAGACTGGCCCAGGGCACATGTCTCCAGGGCCTCTCTCTGGGGCACTGGGAACCACACTGAGATCAGAGGCCAGGGGCCTGAATTCTCCTCCTGGCTCTGCCCCAGATCTGTGCTGTGTGGCTCTGCCTGGTCACCTTCCTTCTCTCATCTTGAGATTCCCTAACTAAAAATAGGAACAAGTTGATCTGCCTCACAGGGGGACCTCAAAGGGCAAATGAAATGGTGGATATAAACACAGTAAAGTACTGTGTCCATGGGAGGGGAACTCCTGGGCCTGACAAAGCTGGCAACTGAGCCCCTATCTCCCTGTGTCACTTCCTCCCCTCTTGGGGGGTTAGTACATCCCAACACAGGCTGACCTCACCCTCTAAACCCCAGCCTGAGGAAGCTGGCCAAGATCCAGCCCAGCTGGCCCTACTGGGCCTGCTCCCCTGACCCAGGCTGCTCCAGAGCAGAAGAGGAAGCACATCTATGAAGCTGGGGAAACTGAGGCCAAGAAGCATGCTTCTGTGGATATGTGCTCCAGCAAATAGAGGACCAGAGCTGTGGGCAACTTGAGATTGGCATGCCAGCCAAACATTCCCCAAACCCTAGCAACCCTTAGCAGGCAGCTCCTCACCTGGACTGGCCAGCACTGCTGCTGCTCTGCAGAGGAGGTACTGGGTACCACACTCCAATTCCCAATAATAGAGGTAGTTATTCTAGGGTGGGAGCAGGGTGGCGGAGGGAGGGAGGTTCCTGGCTAGTGGCCCTGTTGGAGCTGGGCACTGGAGGAAGAATGGCTGGCAGAGCCAGGTGCCATAGGCTGTGGGGGGGAGGGAGCAGAGGGAGGTTGAGCCCCAAGGTGGGAGAAGGAGGTGAGACGGAGCGAAGGAGATCAGTCTGAGGGATTGATTGGGGCAGGCCTGAAAGGCAGAGGACACAGTCTTGTGGCACAATTAAGGGCACAGGCTATGGTGATGTATCCGTCTGTCTATCTGTGTCCCCTGGTCTAAGGGGCACTGGGCATGGGGATGTTAAGAGGGCCTTCTAGAAAGGCCCCTTCATGTCCCCAGGCCCAGCACCCACCCGAGAACTGGGAGCAGAAGAGCATACCTTGCACCCCACAGGTGCTTGGAGCACTGGAATCACCCCATTGTGCCAACCTCTCCGGGACCTGACGCTTGTACACCACATGGGGCTGGGCGTGGCCAGGCCGGGCCGGGGCACCATCCAGGGGCTCAATGAAGTAGTCCTCATTGGAGAGCTGGAACACACCTTTCTGGGGAAGAAGCACTAGGGTCACACAGGGAGGGCTGGCCCTCAGCTGTTCTTCCTGCATATCCCAGAGACCCGTCCTGTCCAGCTGAGCCCCCACTGCCCACACCACCTGTGACTGCCCACAGACACTCTGCACTTTCATCCCACTGGGCCTTTGCACACTCTGTAGCCTCCACCTGGAAAGCCCTTCTCTGCCATTTCACACACAGCCAAACCTTCAAAGTGAAGCTCAGAAGCCTCCGCCCCTGGGGATGCTGCCCCACACACCCACCCCATTAGGAGAGGGAAATGGGTCTGCATCCCAATCTGACAAAATGGTGTCTTCCAGAGTCTCAGACAGCTATCCTGAGCAGGGCAGCTTGTGTCCAGGCCTCCAGGCTATTCTCCATCTCCTCTGCATGCCAGCCATTTCCAGCACTGTGCTCCCTCCCAGCTGGCCAGGGCTTCTGACCTTCCCTCTATCTCCCTAAGGCAATGAATCACTCCAAAGCATCTACACCCACACCCGAGCAGAGGAGATGCCCATGGCCACCAGGACACCCTGTTCTCTGGGCCCAGGGCCGCCCAGAGAA